TTGTGACTAGCAATTGGACAAAAGTTTAAGATATTTTTGTGTAATTTCCAATCATCATCAATGAAGTGAGCCGTCAAACACATATAGTTAAGGTTTTGACAAGATGTCCATGTATTCGTGGTAAGACTTACTCTCTTACTAAACTTACTAAAAAAGGCCTTTAACTTATTTCTCTCCTCAACATAAATATTAAAACAATCTCCAGCCACAATAATACGAGAGGGAACTTGAAATAGAGGTTGTGCATCCTCATCATATCGCGGAACCCCTTACGCTCTACATGCCTAAAGTGCAACTCATCAACAATGATCATTCTAGCTAGAGACCGTCTAAGCCTATCTGGATTGAATTTCCAAGTTGTAAGTGAAGATTGTGTGGAGGTGGCAGCAGTACCACTTGATCGATCATGTGATTGTGTCTGTTGAAAAATTAAAATCCTTTGTTTCTTATCCATCAAATTCAAAAGGTATTTTTTACATCGACTTAAGTGATTCCGTAGATAACTAGTATCACTTTTACTTGGACATGCAAGCACATTCCCACAATAATCACATGTTGCTGTCCTATCATCCATGTTCTTACAAGGATTTATAGTAAAGTGATCCCACATTCAGAAGTATTCTTTTGAGTATTAGAACTTACACGTTTGGGGACTCATGGTGGTTGTGGTCGTGGATCAGGATCCGTAGAAGGCTGTGGGGCTACCAATGAGTTTAGAGTTGGATTCCTACTAGTTGGTGTCTCAGGACTCTCATCAATATTAGAATGGTTAACAGCCATGGGATTGGATTTGGACATCTGCAACATCAACACGAAGAAATATGTGAAGATGATTAAAACTAAAGACTAAGATAATAAATATATAAACAAATAAACAATCCAATCAAAGTATCTTACAGCCTTTTATCTCTATCTTAAAAAAAATGTAACTTATTTATTCAATTATGTATATCAAAGACACATGCCCTGCAACAGAAAAAATGAATTTTAGTTTTCCCCCAAAATTGTTAGAGAACTGGGGGGATTGAGATCTTTCATAGTTGGGTCCAAATTCGAAAAGTATATAAACTAGGGATATTGATTGGACCAATCTTAGGAGTTAAACAAATAGGTGGCTTGAATAGAAAGTCCAACACCTTTACTTTTCTATTATCTTAATGGACAAGTACGCCCTTCTGTTTTCCTTGCACTTTCTTTTTCAAAACTACAAAATTATTTCCTTGGTTGGACCTTTATTTTGATTCTTTTCTTCCCACCGTCTTCATTTCATTACCAAATTTATTCATGTATCAAATCTGACGCCAATTGCCAACATGAGAACGTGATTTAAAGCATTACAAACATAACTTTACAATCGCAAGAAACAGAGTGAGACAACTCAGAATTCTACTCAATAAGGGATATATTGATAGAGTATTACAATAAATTTTTTCCCATATTATGTTTCAAGATTTTTCTTCATATAAGGCAAGGGCATTTAGGACAGTGGAATGAGAGAAACGTGTGGAGTTGAGGATTCTTGAATGATCCAGAATTTTTTTTGACAATCAATAATACAATTATAGAGCAACATGTAAGAAAAAAGTCTACACCAGATCTGATACCTGATCGTTTGTGTGTGTCTTTGTGAGTGACTAAGTGTGATGAATCTATAGAGAACTCAAAGAAGACGATGCTGAAGAAGATCAGGGAGCTTGTCATGCTGTTGGAAAACTACAAAGAAGAGAATGGAGCTTGCCTTACTGCTGGAAGAAGATGACGAAGCTACCGCCTATCAGAAAAAAATGGCGAAGCTGCCGGAGCTGGAAGAAGATGACGAAGCTGCCACCTATTGGAAGAAAATGACGAAGCTGCTGCCTGCTGGAGCTGCAAGAAGAGAACAAAGCTGTCGAATGCCGGAAGAGAAGGATGAAGTTGTTGGAGCTGGAAGAAGACGAAGAAGCTTCCGCCTGTCGGAAGAAAATGGCGAACCTGCTGGAGTTGGAAGAATACGACGAAGCTGCCACCTATTGGAAAAAAATGACGAAGTTGCTGCCTGCTGGAGCTGGAAGAAATGACGAAGCTGTCGACTGCTAGAAGAGAAGGACGGAGTTGCTGAAAGAAGACGACAATATCAGGAATTTGGGAATTAAGAGTGAGAAGGGATATCGAGAATTTGGGTTGGGATTAGATTGAGTGAATTTAGGAATTTATTTTAGTTTAGGTTGTTTTATATATATATTTTAAAACTGGTTTTCTATTAACCCTTTTATATTTTTCTCGAACCGTTAATCGAACCAAAAATTCAGTTTTTTGAATTTTTTGAACTGTAACCAAACAATTTTTTCGGTTAATCAGTTTTTCGGTTCGGTTAGGTGTTTACATTTTTTTTAACATCCATACGTTGAACGACTTTACTTGACTTTTCTTTTAAAAAGAACAAAAAAAAAAAAAAAAAAAAAAAAAAAAAACCAAAATGCTGTCGTTTGGTAAATTGTAATCGAGCTTATTGGACTTGTGAAATTCATTTTAATCCCTAGTTTTCAAAATTATCCAAATAAACCGTATAATTTTTTTACTCATATTACTTTGTAGTCTTACATTTCTACCCCTTTAAATAAAATTTAATTCAATTATCAATGTCCTTAAAATAACAAACCCATTTGGGTTTGTAACATTTTTAAAAAAAATATAATAAAAATATTTAATATCAAATATCTTTAACATAATCAACGTTGACTTGTATTATAACGGGTAGGATAATCAATTTTACATGGTTACTAGTTTCACATACGGATAATACTATTATGATATAAACACCTATACAGTAAGATTATAATGAGGCATAAAACATTTTTTTCTTGTATTGCCTCTCCATTTCTTTATCCATTTTTTATTTTAAATATTTATAATTATTTCAAAATCACCTCCTTTATTTTTCTAATCAAAATTTTCAGTTAAATATAAAAATAAACATTTAAATAAAAGAGAGAAAATTATTTTCCCGTAGAGTTTCCAAAAAAAAAAAAAAAAAAACTTAAAACTTTTTATAAATATCAACCACCATAAAAACGCTTTGTCATCCACCTCGGTTAAAATACAGCAGGGCAAATAGTTTTTCCATTTCCTTTTAATTTTTTCATATCCTTGTTCAAATTTTTTTTTTTTTTTTTTTATTTTATTAAATGATAGGAATGAGAGCTCCATAATACAGTATTTTGAAAGGATTTTATTTTACAATTTTAATTATTTTTATAATATATAATTTTAGGGTCATTGTATAATTATTAGCCTTTGATTGCTTTACCTTACGAGTAATACTACACATACATCATTTTCATACAACATTTTCCATACAACATTATGTGGCAAGATATGATTGGCTAATTTAAAGTTAAAATTAAACTTTCACCCAATCATATCTTGTCACATAATGTTGTATGAAAATAATTTATGTGTAGTATTTTTCTTACCTTAACCTGAGACGTTATCACTACCTTAAGGGAGAACAACATTTTCCCACCCAAGGTTTGGCCAATGACATTCTCCAACCCTTCAAGTTTCAAAATGATACTTTCCCACCCTTCATTAAGTTCTGTTATGTTTTCTGTTAATATTTTATTGAAAAGATGAAAATATCCTTAAATATTTGACTTTATAATTTTTTTATAATTTTTTAATTAGCCAAATAGTCAAATATTAAAAAGTCAAAAAAAAAAAAAAAATAGTTAACCCCGCCTAAAAAGTTAGGAGTAAAGCTATGAAATTGTGTAAAATTAAATATTTATTTATTTATAATGTCATAAATATCCCATCACTATTATTCAACAATCTACTATATTTATAATGTTTTTCATTTTTACTAATTAACATAAAAAATCAACATTCCTAATTAATCAAATAAACAAGAGATTTTTTTTTTTTTTTTTACACTTGAATTATAAATAATTGAATAAAGACTTTGACTTAACTAAATTTTAATTTATAATAAACTAATAAGAAATAAACTATTTAATAGCGTTTTCGTCTTTTTAGTCAAATATTAATAGAAAACACTAACAGAACCTTGACGAAAGGTGGGAAAGTGTCATTTTGAAACTTGACGGGTGGAAAAATATCGTTTCTCCAAACCTTGGGTGGAAAAATGTCGTTCTCCCCTACCTTAATAACTTAATGCAAAGATAAAAGGTTAATGTTACATACAGTCACAGACAACAGTTAAAATAAAATAAAATTTCTTGGCTCTTTAAATGAAGAATTATGTAGGTGCCTCTGAATATTTTTCAGACACTATAAATGGAATGAAATTAAAAATATGTGACATATTTAGAAGAAAATTTTTAATTATATTTGTCACATATACTGAAAATTACAGTATGACATGTTATTATGTACAAGTTCAAACTAATAATAAATCCATTATAAAAGCTAGTGAATCGAATAATCAATTGGATGTCATTAAATCAAAACCCATTCAAGAATTATTAGATTTAGATGTGGGTGGTTTAATTAGATTTCATTGACTCATTAAATCAAGAATTATTAGATTTAGATGCGGGTGGTTTTGAATATTTTTCGACTCTCTAAATAGAGTAAAATTCTAATGTATATATTAAATTAAACACATTCAAAACCACCAACACCAATAATAAGTCCATGGAAACCCAGTTGAATAATGAATGAAATTAGCTTTCATACCTCCTATTCACAGTCCTTCAAATGATGAAAGGCCACCAAATTCTTACCTCGACCCGGCCCAATTCACGATGATCCGTAATCCTATTGATAACTGCTGATTTAAAATTAGAGAAAATTTACTTTAATTATTTAAGACAGATATTATTTATGATAAATATTACTTGTATTAGATAATCTTGAAAACATTTTATTTTTGATTTATATTTTTATAAAATACCTGCATAAAACATTAACTTAGAAATTCATTATTTGACAAAAACTTTCTGAATTAGCATAAAAATTAATGATTATCTACACTAATTCTCTAAACCCGGTCAAATTTCCCGGTCCAGCTCTCAAAGCGAAAGCCACTAAACCCTCCTTTCTCTGCCCTTCATTTTCCAAACCCTAGCCTTCCCCTTCCATTTCATCACTCTCACTCTTTCATGGCACTCCTTCTCCGTAAACCCAAACCCAGATCCCTCTCTAACCCATCTCTCATTCACCTTTTCTCAACTTCCCAAAATGACAACAACAACAACAACTCCTCCTCCTCTTCCAAACGATCTTCACTCGACTCTTTTTTCAGTGATGTCGACGCAAGCCTCAAGAACGACGATGACGACGACTCCTCTTCCCTAAAATCTTCACTCGACTCTTTTTTCAGTGATGTCGGCGCAAGCCGCAAGAACAACGACTCCTCCTCTTCCAAACAATCTTCACTCGACTCTTTTTTCAGTGATGTCAGAGCAAGCCTCAGGAAACCGTCCCAGATGCAACAGCAGCAAAACGCTACCGGTTCCCCATTCTCTAGAGCAGCTCCCTCCAAATCAGCTTCGCCCGACGAGGTCAGAAAGAATCTCTCCGAGTTCCGGCAACGTTCCGCCGTGCCACCACCCCCGGGACCAAACTCTTCATACAGCGATTCGAAACCTAGTGGGAAGCTCTCTTTTGAGGCAATTAGAGAGAGTTTAAGAAATATGAGACCAAATGGTAGTAGTGATAGTAGTGTCAATCGCAATGTGGCTGCTGATTCGTTGTCGTTATCGGCGTTCAAGAGTAGCTTGAAACTGAAGCCACAAGACGGTAGCACGGTGATAGGTGGGACCCAGGAGTTGCCGGCGTCGGTGTTTGGGAGGGAGATGAGGGAGGAGAGTAGTGGAGATAGGCAGGCCATGAGGACGGAGTTTGTGAAAATCTATAGCTATGGAGAATTGGGGGATAAGTTGAAGAATTTGCGAGGGGAGGGATGGAAAGGAGGATTTTCGTTGGAGGAGCTAAATAAAAGATTAATGAGACTGAGGGAGATGGAAGAGAAGGAGAGCGAGTATCGTATTGGTGGTGTTTCGTTCGGAGATTTGAGGGAGAGCTTGGTTAAACTCAAGCTTTCTAGCGACGAGAAAGCCTATAAATTTACGAGTGAGTTTGCTTCATCATTAAATTTCTATTATTGGAAATCATTTTTATGCAAACTCAGTTTTTCCTGTAATGATTTTTGTATGTTACGTATTGCATTTCAGGCCAATCACTCGATATATTAGGTCATTTAAATCAGACACCAAAATTTTTGATCCATCCTCCAAAGGAACATTTAGTTGAGAAGGTATGACTGATTTTCTTCACATTTTTTATTACTGATAATAAAGAATTTGTTAAGTAATTTTATATATGATTTTAGAATATGTTTGATGCAGTATTTTCATCCGGATAACATGTCTTTGGGTGAAAAAATGAAAATTGAGCTTGCAAAAGTTAGAGAAGAATTTAAGATGTCAGAATCAGATTGTGGATCTGCTCGAGTACAGGGTAAATTTCATTTGTTTTTTTCCTTAAACTTTGACATTCTTGTTGAACTAAATATCTTTAATCCTTTGTTGCATGATACATGTTATAACCTTTATTTTGGACTTACGCCCAATATTTTGGAGATCAACTTAAACGAAAGTCATGGATAATGAATAAGAACAATAGGATAATTTCTATTGTTTGAGCGGACGCATTAAAGATACAAAACTGTTACAGATTTGAAGAGTAGATGATTGTCTGATTGAGGTTTGTAAGTGCCTGAGAGATGACTGCATATCTCCCTTGTGGGATGTTGTGTATTAAAGATATTATCTTGGAAGAACTGCCCAATGGAATAGGATGACTAAGCAGATGTTGGATGAATGGACAAAATGCATTTAATGCTTTTATTTTTGAATAAAGGGTTTATAGATTGTAGCAATTATTGTGAAATTAGATTTATGTGCCATCTTGAGAAAGCTATCAGTAAAAGTAGTTAGAAATACTATGTTGCCAAATGTGATCCTGCTAGAAAATTGACTCAGTTTTGAGCTTCAAAATTTGCATTGGATTGAAACTTTATTTCTCATTTGATGAAAAGGTTTTGAGAGATGAAGAACAACTAGTAATGACCTTTATTGAACTAAAAAAAGAATACGTGCACAGCAGGCTTTACAAGTATCAAGCAGATATAATGACCTGATGAACTATGTGTAATATATGATCCAGTAGGAAGAATCAGGAGACTAGCAATTCAGAATCAAGCTTTTTCTTTTATGTGTGTGTGAATTAGGCTAGTTTGAGAGGACAGTGAGAATTCCAGATAATGTGTTATGCATTTCAGTAAGTTAGTAGTTGACTACAAAATCGAGCAAACTGGTGGTTATGTTCAGGTGGCTGACCATTTACTGGTTCCCAACAAAATTTCATATTGTTCTTTATGGTGTTACCTCTTGAGTGATAGAGAACAAATATCAGTCAAATTTGTTTTAGCATGCATTTCTTCTGAAATATGGTGATTATAATTATGTTGGATGATTGGAACTGGAAACTGCAAACTTTTGTTGACACATTCCATTTTTGTTGGTGACTTTTTTCTTGTTGAGGGTTTTTGACGCCTGATTGCTAATTGCTTTGCAGTGGCACAACTCACAACTAAGATCAAGTATTTGTCTTCAGTTCTGCACAAAAAGGTGAGATTTAAGGCTTGATCTCTTTATATTTCTGTTTCCAAATTTCATCACAAATTTGTACTTTTAGAATGACCCAAAAATCCTTCACAATTATTATTGTGGCTTTCTGAGTTCACTTGATAGTTTGAATCTTCGTGTATAAATTGCATGTTCTGGCTGGTTAAGCTATTTTTGATGGTTACTGCACTCTTTAACTGTTAATTCATTTGAATACAGTGATTTAGAAAGTGAATGAGTTGCAATAACATATATTTATACACAAATGACCTGAAGTTGGGAAGGAAATAAAAACCTAGTACCTTCCTTGTTACCATTAGTTCTAAAATTTTATAAATAGACTTTTAATGTCAGGAAATTTCTATTCAATGTATATATTTATGTGGCTATAACAATTTCTGAATAATTTTGTCACCCTGAGTTAGGTAGCTGACTGTAAGTTTTGCGTACTTGTGTTGGGTATAATGGCATAATCTTTAAGAAGGTATAAAATGACAAAAAATGTGATTGACATGCAATTGAAGTGTCCTTATGCTTTTTTTTTCTCCTTGTAAATATGCTCTGTTTGGGTTACCAAAGGTGAATGTTGAACGGACCTTAACAAGAACTTTGATAGAGATAATGCTAATTTGCTTGACTCACATTTTATAATGGTAGAAAATAATACATTTGTGATTTTCATTTATTCTTCTTTGTTTCTTTCGGATGATAATTTGTTCTTTTTGACATATTAATTGTTTGTAAGTCACTGTTGCAATGATTAAACATCTTTTTCCAAGTGGTGGTTCGTTTACTTATTTATCAATATGATATAATTATAAAATTAATTACAAGGTGACATGAGTTTATCTTAATTAATTTGTATTACTATTGTAGGATAAACATTCTAGAAAAGGTCTTATAGCGATGGTGCAGAGGAGAAAGAGATTGTTGAAATATCTCCGAAGAACAGACTGGGATTCCTACTGCTTTGTGCTCACTAATCTAGGTCTTCGTGACCATCCGGACTACAAAACAAAAGCTTAAGCTATGCAAGATCAAGAACTAGATTAGAAAGCAATGTAACCATCTGAAAATTCCCTGTTTTTGGAACTTTGTATTGGTTGATTTGGGAATTTTTGTACCTATTTCAGCTGTCACTCGCCTTCCCCTTCTAGAAATAAGTAAATTTGTAGTCGGTTATGTTTGCCTTCTGCTTGATGTCTACTGTTGAATGTTAGACATAAATTTAATAGCACAAAATAGTACAAGACTTTTGAAATGTTTATATAGTGTTCCAATGGATGTAATTATAAAGCCTTGTCCCTTAGCATATTTTGTACTTGTGATGGAAATTTGATTTCGGGTGTTAAACCTCTGTTTTAAAACCCGAACCGGTTTAGGTTTAAGGGTTTTTTTTTGATATTTTTCAAACTTTTAGAGACTAGTTGTAATTTTTTGGGAGGTTTTTATATTTCAAAACTTTCAGGGACTAACTAAATTATTTGGGGCATTTTGAAATAAATAAAAATTTCAAGGCCTCATTGTGATTTTTAGGGGTATTTGGGTAATATATTAAAATTCAAGGGACTAATTAAATTTTTTAAAACTATTTTTTATAGTTGATATCATCAGTCCAATCGACTCGTGATCCGATCACATTGTCGGATCTTACAATGGATTGGATTTTAAAACAATGTGTTAAACGGGATAAATTTGGGATAATATGGTCTGTATCACTCCCCCCAAGACGGAGGAAATTTGTCCTCGAATTTAGAATCCACATAATGTCGTTGTTTTGTTGTTGCATTTGCTTGAGGGCGATCATCTATCATCAAAAGCATGTTAGGGGTTGTAGCAAACAAGGTAGGATGATTAAAGGATGACTTATGTGAGAGACCTCTTGACTAGGCATTAAAACGATGTTGACACCATCAAACATAAAACTGTCAGTATTTTTCTTGTCATCATGTACCACATCTTTATCATATTGCCAACTTTTACCCATTGTTTTAAAACCCGAATCGGAGGGCAACCATTGTTTTAAAAATCGGATCGGATCGGTCGGTCCAACCGGTTGGACTGGGACTCGGTCATGTGTTTGGTTCGAGTCAACACTAAACCCGTTACTATATAATAACCTGCTTTAAACCATTTAAAAACTGGATAAAATATGTGAACCGTCGGTCCAACTGGACTGGCGGATAAACCGGTCGAAAGTTGCAAAAATCCGTAACTCTACACAATCGCAAGTCCATTCCATTCTGATTTCATTTCTCTGTTTCTCATATTTCTCAGCTTCTTCTCTACGCAAATCCTTCTCTGAAATCCCACTCAAATCGCAATGAACTCCATTCCCTAAAGTCTGAAATCGCAACCATTCACCAAATCGCAACTGAACTCTCTGAAATCGACGACGACGCCTTTCTCCCTCGCTGGAAATCAACGATAACAGCTTCATTCCCTGCTGGAAATCAACGATGATGATGGCTGCTCCATTCCTCGCTAGAAATCAACGACGACGATGACAACTCCATTCCTGGACGACGATGACAGCTCCGTTCCTCGCTGAAAATCGACGGCGACGATGGTTGCTCCATTCCTCGCTAGAAATTGACGACGACGATGGCAGCTCCATTCCTAGAAGACGATGACAGCTCCGTTCCTCGCTGGAAATCGATGGTGACAGCTGCATTCATCGACGACAGCTCAATTGATGTTCAATACCAAAGCCCTATCTCTGCCCACAAACTTCATCCCTTAGGTCTTTGTGATAACAATAAAACCCTGCTTCTTTGTCGAAACCCTGAAAATATTTCCTCAGTTATGTGGAGAAACCTTGCTAGGCAAGCAATTTTGAGATCTTCTTTCCTTGATTGTAAAAAACCCTCTTCACGTGCTTATAGCTTTTTGGGGTTTTCTCAAGACTCGATTTTTCATGGACAATGCAAATTTGGATGTTTGGAGCTAGGTTCTGGCGGAAATCATGAACTGGGTTCTCGTTTGGTTGGTGAGATTTTTAGTCATGAGGATTATTTGGGGAGGCCATCTTTTGGAGTTTTGAAGAATAGTAATTGGGGTAATGGGTTGTGTTTGAGAGGGTATGCCAGTGTAGTTGAGGCTGTTTCTTCAACTGATGTTGAAGAAGATGTGTCAGTTGTTGACGAAGTTCGGGGGTTGTTGCAAGAAATGAAGAGAGAAGAGCATAAATAGGGAGTGAATACTCAGAGAAAAAGTAAAAAAATTGGGCACGGAATGGGGTCTAAGAAGTATCATATGCTTAAGAGAAGGCAAGTGAAGATTGAGACTGAGGCATGGGAACAAGCAGCCAAAGAATATAAGGAGCTTTTGAGGGATATGTGTGAGCAAAAACTTGCATCAAATTTGCCAAAACTGAATGTTGGATAGTTGACGATGAAGAGGAGGTCAGTGAACTTAATTATGAGGAGTTGGAACAAATGTTATATGGAGAAGGATCTATTCCTGCTGGAACTGGAGTTGCTGATCACCCCTCTTTTTATGATTCAACCGATGGTTTAGAAGGTTGGTTTCAAATATTTAAGCAACTTAATATCTATTTTAAATTAAATTACAAGTTTTAACTTATACTTTCTATTTTTTACTTAAATTTATGATGGTGATGGTGATGGTGATGGTGATAATGGTAATATATGAGATACGCCCATTGCAATAACATCACACCATAGTTGGTCCTTGTATGTAGAAGTAGAACCAATGGACAAAGGACCGGGATATGGCTTAGTCTCCAAGCTCAGCTTCTTTTCCCTTTTAATGGTTCCCTAAATGGTACAAGTAGAGTGAAAAATATATTATGTTCAACCAACTCTCTTCACTTGTTCCTTGAGGTGTAAGACAAACTCGTCCAACTACTAGCATGAGACCCGTATCGCCTTCAACAAATTCTTCAATGACTCGAGCTTTAGAGTCATCAGCATGCTCTTCAAGACTTTCTTCATAACCAGTTATTGCTTCCTTTGCATTATTCTCCACTAATATGAAGAATGAACCTCATATTACAACTTATTAGGGGTTGAAAGTAAGATATTTAGTGAAAAATTACATATTTAGCGGAAACAAAATGAAAATCTTCACTTTCTAATACTTGAGTCGGAAGAAATATTTCTAAAAAATTTGAATAAACTGTAGTCCCTCAGCGGCCTCAGCCAAGTCACTCTAGCGGATCTTTTTGATACTTTATAGGGATTATTATGATACTTTACACAGTAGATTTTATGAAATCCTGCAAAGTCAATCACCGGGTTCTACTTCTTTCTCATAAAGGTAGTACTACTAAGCTTAAGGGTCAACTCCTGAAGAGTTGGAACAAAAAGTGAATACTTTCAAGTTCATCTGGGCGCAACTGAATATATATACTACTTTTGAGATTGCGAGCTTTGGTGACGCATAAATGCTTCAAACCGCAGCAACAATAAAGACGCAAATCTTCAAGCAAAGGGCACTCACTAGTCAGCTTTCGAACTGTCTGGTCATTTATAAAGACAGTATCCAGAGATAGCTTGCAGAACTTGAGCAGGGAACGATCAACAAAATTCATGAATTCATCTGCTCGTTCATGCAATGACTGGAACTCTCGCCGCCTACCACGTTTATAGTAAATCTTGATCAAAATCAAAGAAGGGGAATGATGTACTTAAATCCTTCCATGGCTTTGACAAGACACTGGTTTGACTTACCTCCTTCAAGGAGAGGCAAGTCATGATGTGATGGATGATAAAAGGAGGCAATTTTGAGATTCGATTGGCATCACTTTCTCATCCATACTCTTCTAACCTGCAAAATTTATTAGTGAAAAGAATAATAAATCTATAATCAATAATATGTAAACTGAAAATCAAATAAAACAAAAAGATGAGAAAAGCGTGGATGTGATGCTTAGAAAACTATAGAAAGAACTACCAGCATAAACATAATAAAAACAAAGCAAGGATGAGAAAAGCGTGGATGTGATGCAGAGAAAATTCTAGTAAGACTAAAAGATCTGCCAAAACATATAAAAGATAAGCCAAAAGAAACATAGAAAACATGAAAACAAGAGAGATGATGCAGACAAAAAATATCAGATGATAATAAGATTAGCGGAAGATAATCGGAGAAATAGAGATTTGATGTGAGGCAGATAAAAAATATTAGATGATAATTGGAAGAACGAGAGCACGTAGGCTTACTAGTAAATTGGCAGCAATTTTGTTAGAGCACGTAGGCTTACTAGTAAATTGGCAGCAATTTTGTTCTAACCAGAGAAGAAGGAAACAGAACCCGCCTCAATTAGAGCACGAGTTTTAATGTAAGTCTAAATTAGATAAATGTGATTACCGCACACTGCCACTCTGCCAGACAGTTCAGAGAAGCACACATTATGGCTCGGTTTGGTTAAGGCTCCATTTTCCCAGTTAACTTTATTTCACTTATTTTCAAAATAGTTGTCTAATTTATTCAACTTCCTTTGATCCCCCTAAATTTATTAATTTAACTAAATAACCCTAATTTTTTTTTAAAAAAAATTGATAAAAACACCATAGTAACCCAAATTTACCAGATTCTTACCACCACTACTAGAAGTTGGCCAGAATCTGGTATAATGGTGCACTACCGGTTGAATCTGACCGATAGTGCATCTATCTATCCTTTTTCGACTAAATCTTTGGCCGTCGTTGACAACCAAATATAGCTAGATCTGGCTGTCAATGGCCAGATTTAGCCGCAGATCTGACCTTTTCCGATCAGATCGGTGTACGATCGGTAAGATCGAGCCGGTCATACGCCGATAAGGCAACTCCAGCCACCCTCCGCCGGTGGTGGCCAGCTGTCCGTATTTATGAGTGGATTAGGGGTGTTTTTGTTAACTTTAAATATTTTATTAAAAGGGTGTTTAGTAAATAAATAAACATAGGGGTATTTATGTTAATTTTTAAAATTCTACATCGTAATACCCACCCAATTTAACTTTTTTCAAAAGATTATTTTAAAAGCTACCAATAATAAACCAAACTACCCAAAAAGACATTTTTCTCTTATTCAGTGTAAAACCGGAAAATTTCCAAGAGCGTGTATCTAAGTTAGATTAAGAAGAAATCACAAACTCATTTTAATTATAGTCAATACATTGAACTTATTAAGCCTTACACGCAATTACAAAACCCAAAACTGGACATCGGTCTAAAATATATATATATATATATATATATCAAATAGATTACTGGGTTCCATTTAGATGGATTATAACAGCAACAACATGTTCTAATCAAAGCTCTGCGAACGGGTGAAACAATTGAGAAGTTTGGTATAATCTATGTGTTCTATCAAAAATTCTTGTGGAACGGGTGAACTATTCAGAATTTCTCGTGCTTAGTCCAAATTTTCATTTTCAAATCCATCCATACGAACACCTTGAGGCTCTCCTCTAGAAATTTATAGACTTATAAAAAGATTCTTCAAAACCTTCTCAGAACAATAAATTTTTAAGTTGCTTTCAAGGAAATGAAGAAACAATAGTATGAAATACAATGAGGGTTAAACAAGCTTCGGAAAATTAACAAGTTCAACATTTTACTCAATATATAATCAGGGTGTAAGCACAGAACGATACAATAATAATGAAAGGAGAAAAAAATAAATACAAGAGCTCCAGTGCACAATGGCAATGGAGTAGCTATCACCACATATCTGCACACTCTCACAACAACTTTGTGAAGACCTAACCAAAAGAAAACAAGTATAGCTTCTACTCTCGCCTAGCCTTTACAAACTAGGCATCCGTGGTTGAAGAAATAGCTCCTCTGGTTATCAGAAGGAGTGAAACCACCAGGTGGGATTATTTTCCTTAGTGACGGCCTTGTGAACACCATCCAAGCCACAATACCGACATTCACATTAGACCACTTCAAATTTATCTCCCTCAATGAGATACAATTTACCACCACTTTCACCACCCCATTGGTGGTAACATTTAAGCATTTATCCAAATTCAGATACAATAGTCGGCCACAATTATTTGCAATTGTTGTCAGTCCATCTTCATTCAATCCAGATGCGGATGCTAGCAAAACCTCCAACTTAGGCAGCTCAAAATCTATACCAAGATTATTCAACTGTCGACAAAAGTAAATCTCCAAATGTCTGACCTCTCTGCAATTCCTCAAAATTTCACCAATTCCTTCTTCTGTTATTCCCAAACAGCAGGACAAATCAAGAACTTGTAAACTGGGGCAAAGTAATGCAACCTTTTTCAGAAATTCATCGCTCAAATTGCCATTCCCAGCCAAGTGCAAAGCCTTGACTCGAGGGTTTATTTTCAAATCATTTGTAAACTCCTCTATCCCCAGATTTGTAACCTCCATTTTTACTTCATTCAACAGAGGACAGTTTCTTATGAGTGTAAAGAATGTTGCATTGGTAAGCTTTGAACAGTAACCAAGGTTTATTGAGATTACACTCTGGAGAAACTTAGATAACTCAATCATTGACTCATCAATGAGAAAATTTGCTGCTTGAAGGTTTAAATATTCAAGAGATTGGTACTTTCGCAACAATACCGAGATTCCAGCAAATGTATAATTATGACAATGAGAAAGACTAAATTTCTCCAACTTAAGAGAAGCTTCTGCTATTGAACAAAGGAATTCGTCGGATAAATACGAATTCGAAAGATCAATTTCACATAAATTTCTTGCTTCACCAAAATGTTGACCAAAAAATTGATGAATAGGAGAAATTCCAATTCCACTCGTTGAAACTGAACTCAAATTCCGACTACAACTCATTAGTACACCAATACCGAATTCAGTAATGCAATCACAATCATTAACCACAAGTTCTCTCAACAAACGACAATTCGCAGTGATTGAAGCAAGAGACTTATCAGTAAGGAAAAAATTACCAGAAATATCAATCTTTTGCAGTCTCTCGAGCTTCATCGCCATAGCATAAATCCCAGCATCGGATACAAAACCTTCACAAGACCGATAATCCTGCGACCCATCTGGCAAAAAACTACAATCATAATCAGGATAACTAATGTCAAGAACTTCAAGAGCCGGACAAGACTCAGCTATTGCAATCACATCTTCATCTTTTAAAAATCCAATTTTTGAACAAACCAATTCCTTTAAATTCTTATTTTTTGAGGCCAATTCTTGAAGACCGGTTATGGGAAATTCCTTCTGGTTTGAAATATTAAGTGAAACAAGATCCATCTCACGTTCTGAAACTGAGCAAAGAAAGCCATCCACATCCAAGGTTACTTGAGAAAAATCGAGTTTTTTGAGATTTGGGAAGCGGCGAAGCAGATTGAACATCTGAGGGAGAGCTTGTTGAGTGATATTGAGGTTACGGCGGAGATTATTGGTGATGGAAAGTAACTTGTGGGAGACTAAAGATACGGGTTCGAAGCGGCGCTCATCGCCCAAGGAATTCAGGATCAATTCCCAGCAATCTTCCGGTAAATCCATGGAAACCACGGCGTATTCGAAGTAAATGGAAAGGGAAAGTCTGGAGGATGAAAGCCCTAGGGATTGGAATTGGAATCGGAAGATAATGGTGGATTAAGGGTGGCAGAAATTAACGGCGACGATGGGACATATTAAAGACAAGAATAATTTTAATTAACGCTAATATTATAGGCCGAGCGAATTATACATACCCAAGGTTTGCCGTAACGACAAAGTGATACCCAAAGGTTTTAAAACGACAAATAGGTATCTTTCGTCATGTGCGGTTAGTGATTTCCGTTTGATAATAGTGAAAAGACTAAAATGTCCTTGAAAGTTTGATATTTTAGTTTTTTATAAATTTAAAAATATCTAAAAAACCCCCTAAGTTTGCTAATTTAACTAAACACCCCAATATATAAAATTTTTGTAAAATAACAAAAACACCCCCATCACCTGCAGTGCCAGATTCCGGCCAGGCCGAAAAATTGCTTTACGACACAGACCCGTCGGATCTGTGTCGTAACGCGTCGATTTGGCCTTTTTCGACCAGATCCATGGCGGATCTGGCCGGAAAAGGCCAGATCTGGCTGTCGAGGCCGCAAAACTCTCGACGGCCAGATTTGGACGTAGATTTGGCCTTTTTCGGGCTGATCTGTGGCAGATCTGGCCGGAAAAGGCTAGATCGATGCGTTACGACACAGATCCAATGGGTCTATGTCATAACGCAATTTCTCAGCCAGATTCCGACACACTGCAGGTGGTGGGGGTGTTTTTGTTAGTTTATAAAATTTTTATATGTTGGAGTCTTTAATTAAATTAGCAAACCTAGAGGGTTTTTTAAAAAATTTTAAATTTATAAAAATCTAAAATATCAAACTTTCAAGAGCATTCTAGTCTTTTCACGATTATCAAACGAAAATCACTAACAAGTAACAACACATGACGAAAGGTACCTATTTATCATTTTAAAACCTTTTAAATACCACTTTGTCATTGAGGCAAACCTTGAATATGTGTAACTCGTGCTCCCAATATTATATTCACAAACTTTTCTCTTCCCCAATTGTGAATATTTACGAGAGAAGTTGTCCAATTGTGTAACATGGAGTGTGGTTTTTGAATTTCAAATTTGTGTGACGCGCGTCAACGTTTTCTCTTTTTCTGCTTTGATATTAAATTAAATTAAGGTTTAATTTATAAATGTCTCCATTTTTCCAAAAATAAAATAAGTAATAGTGTGCTCCCTTTGTCTTTAATCAGTTTGGTTGTTAAAACATGGAGAAGTTAAATTTAATCTCTAAATTATTTTTTTTAATAAATTTTATACCATTCTGGGATAAGAATAAGGGTGATGTTATTTATAGTCCCATTAATTTTACACAATATATTACCCATTATTTTAAATATTAATCATATATGATAAAAGAACTATTTTAAATATTAGAACGTAGCAGATAAAGTTATCGTTTTATTTATACAACAAGGTAGATTTTTTTTTTTTTTTTTGAAATTCTAAAGATTCATGATCTGAAAGTTAAACTATTTTTTTTTTTTTTTTTTGTTTCTATTACAAATTTATCCTTGAAATGGAAGCACAAATAAAAATAGAAGTGGGGTTAGCCCATAACAAGGTCAAATCTCTCTCGAAATAAGTTAATTAAAGTTTGAGCCTTAGCTTGCTGATTTAACTGAAGTACAATTGAGAGATCACCACAATTCACAAGTACATTTGCTAATCTAGACCTTCATCTCCTGTGGTACCATGAAAATCACAAACCTGTCAACAAGTAAGGTAGCTGCTGGCTGACCTTATAGTAAAAGAGCGAAAGAAGGTATCATGAGTTTGAGTCTCCACAGACTTTTATAAGAGTCGTTATTGAAGGGATTATCTTGTCGTCAATTTCAGGATCCTAAATAATTAGTTAAAATGCATATAAACTCATAAATAATAATAATAATAGTAATAAAAAAATAGCTACAACCTAGTAGGGGGTATATTAGGTAGTTGGGATTGTCATCTCCATTCTTATCCACATTAGTTAAGAGATATTTGTTCTCCCCTTGGTCACAAAATTGGTTCAAGAGATGTTGACATTGGCAACATTTTGGCATGACAGCTCTTCTTCCTTTATAAATTATATATAGGGAAACAAAACCTTCTCAATTGGGTGAAATTTTGACCTAGTTAATTTTCGCATAAACGTAAATTTAAAATTATGTTACTGTGGTTAATTTCTATTAATATATGTTTTAAAAACATATACTGTATCATGAAAAAGCTTTTCATTAGTCTAGAGTTGTGAAATTTATGCATCGATAGCCAAAAGTCTTGAATGATTAGTTAAACGAGCAAAAGGTTTAGCCGAATCCAGTTTGGTAAATTCCACCCTTAAATAGACACCCTTTCATGTTTTTTAACAGTTAAAGGCTAAAATGGTCTTTTTATTTCCTTCACTGTTGCGTTCTCTCTCCCTTCCTCTCCCTCTTATCTTTCCTCTCTTTGGCTGTTGGCAGGTGGTGGAGTTCCGGCGGCATCATCAACACTGTACCATCGCTAGCCAGAGATCCCCTCCACTAGCAACCCCAGTCGCCAACCTTGCCACCGAACGGCATCGTTTCTTGAGGAAGAGAAAGGGCTGGTGAGTGGGAAAATAGCGACGGAAATTGTTGGCCCATTTTCACACTCACTAGCCCTTCCTCCTCTATACTCACCCATCCCCTTACCGCCTTAACCCCCCAATAGCCTCCGGCCGCGACGGCACTCACTCGCGCGATTTTACGGCTTTGAACAGACGTGCCAGCCCCACCTACCGACACCACCTTGCTGCTACCATCTTGCCCGCCTTTCATCCTCTCCCGCCAACCATTCGCTGTTAACCGCTCACCCATGACTGCCTCACCGCGCGACAACTTGATTTATGTGGAGATTGGTTTTTTGTGGATTTTTTTGTTTGATTGTGGTGATTAATGGAGATTGATTGAAGGTTGTTTATTGGAGTGTTTTTTTGCTGTGTTTGTTAAGACTCTTTGCCAGTCGTCCGCTGCCACCGACAACCTACAAGCTGTACCCCAACTACACTGCCCACAAGCTGTTCGATAAAACTCCCAAACCAACCACCCACAACCTGTTTGCGCGACAGTCGCGATTGGTCGTGCAAGGACGGCTGGAGTTGGCTTTTGCGGCGGCTGGGAGAGGTGTTTGCAGCTCAAGGGGCATCTCCTTGACAAAACCTCATCTCACCGGACGGTAGGAGGCTGCTAGAAGGCCAGCGGCAGTGAAGTAGATCAGGAGGGGAGATGCGGAAGAAGGAGGTCTAAGGGTAATTTGGTAAAAGAATCCTCTGCCCCTGTGTCACAACCCATCCGTCACTAACGACATCCATTTAAGGGTGGGAATTTGAAATTTATGAACTAAGGTACCAACCTGGGATTTCACTAAACCTTGGGTGAGAATATATTTATTTAACATTTTTTGTAATGAGATTTCAGCGAAAACCAGTTTAACGTAGAATAGCAGATGATATTTTTTTTCATCATAACTTGTCAAATTCTAGCGAATTAGTCAGACCCTGATCATCACTTCTGGCTTTGATATGATAAATGCTAATATGCTAATTTGCATAAGTGATGAACTTCACAGATGGGCTGAAACTGTAGTACTAGTGAACAGTTCCAAGAATTTTAATTAAACCTGTACTTTAGAGATAACTCAAGAAAGAATTATTCAATTTCTTGGTACCATTCTTTAAAAGTACGGCCATCAGCGCTTTCTATAATTGACCTTAAAATTACAATTTAATTTAATTATAGTCCTGCTGATTAACTCTAACTTCATCTCTGAATAAAATCCTAATCTTCAGCTGTTAATTCGGAGTAACTCTTCTTCATTCAAATAAGTACATCTCTATTGTATTCATCATTTGACAGCATGATAGAAAACCATAAGATAAATCATTTATAACAAAGCAAGAGAAAAGAAAAAAGAAAAAAAGCATATGGACAATGCTAGCCACTACATTCAGGTTATTTTGCATCAGAAAATATTTAGTATGAATACAAGGAAAAAAAGCTTCACTTCTTGGATGAAGGAGAATAAGATATATAGCCTGGAAGCTGAACTGTTTCATTTAAAACATCTGAGACCAGCGCCTAAGGATTCTCAACAATATCAGGAACTACAGGAGGCGTCTGGAAGAAATTCGGTACACTTGGTGTTGATTCAAAGGGGGGCGTAAAAGTATCCGGTAATTGTGGTGAGAAAATTGGTAACTGAGGAGTATCAGGTGGAGAAGAAAACAAGGGGATCAGTGGTGGCGCTTGTGCATGCTCAACAGGAGGAAAATCTTGCACCGGTGGAGGTAACAATGCAGGGAAAAACGGTGGTGATGGAGTGGTTTCACCTGGAAATGGCCAGGCTTGCTCTGGTGGTGCCAATAAACTTGGAACAAGTGGTGGTGCCGGTGGAAACTGATCAGCTGGTGGTGGAAGGATAAAGGCTGGTGGTGGATTTATATCTGGGGGTGATAGCCACCAGGGAACCGGCGGTTGTGGACTCTGAGGAGGAGGTGGTGTAAAAAAGAATGGCATGAAAGGAGGTGGTACATCCGGTGAAGGCGGCGGGGAAGCAACCAATGGAGGCGGAGGCGGTGGGGAGAGTTCTGGTGGCGGTGGTGCTTGAGGTGGTGGAGCTGAGGGTGGAGGGGATGAAAGTAGAGGCGGTGGAGAAGTTGCCAAAGGTGGCGGAAAGGGGGGTGGTGGCAATGGTGAAGGAGGACGTGGCCTTCGAGTTGGGAGAAATGGATTTTCGGGAGAAGGCGCGGTTGAGAAAGGCCATTGGCCACAAGTACCAAAGAAGTATTCATATAGAGGGTCACAGTGTGATGGATCTTTTCTTGTACTTCTGGTACTGCCTCTTGATCTCTTTTGGTGTTCTTCTTTGTGTTTATTCTGGGGATTTGTTCTTGCTTCTGTGGGAGTTTGAGTTATCAGAAGAAGAACAAAGATAAGTACTATCACAATGTTTGGTTTCTTCATTGTTTTACTTCATTACACTCTCGACAATTTCTATATATCAGAAGCCAAAAGGTAGTGATTTAGTTGGGGAACTAGCATGATATACTTACGAGAAGTATGGTGGGCTGCAGTGCCTACAGATTGAAAGTCTTCCGGTTGCTCATTAAATTCTTGACTAAATAATGTGAAAGACGTCCTATAAATTTCTTAGATATATATATGAACACAAATTAAGATAGTTATTAGATAAAACAAAGGAAAAAACAAACACATATGCACGTGTAAAAGATTTTATTAAATTAATGTATGAATAATGTGGCATGTAATTAATTGTATTTTATTTCTACTATTGATCAGTGTTGCGGACACACGACAATCACAAAATTATCATATTAAAAAAAATATATATATATTATCACCACAAGAAAAGTAACATTTATCGACCATAAAAGCGTAGTATTATATGTTGCATTATTATACATTTTTTGTAACTCAAAATATATGTTAATATCAGATCATATTATGTTTATTATATTTCTCACGATTTAGAAGAATATGTTAGGATCAGTTCGCATTATGTCTATTGTTCTAAACATGCTACTATGCTGGATTAACTTATTTTCAATGTCATTAGTCTCATTAAAAATTAAAGATATATGTTATATACTCCATAAGTTATGGTGATTAATCCCCCAACGAAGTATATTTTTGTTTCTTAGAGCAAAAAGCAAAGGAACATCACTAGAGTTGTAGTAAATGTTTAGGACACGAGCCAAGAGGCGAATCGCCAGCAATCACCCAGTTGTGCTGCTTAAATGCACCGCGTGGGTGCATAAAAATGCAGTAAATAATATCAAGAGATAAGCGTTGACCGAGGCCACAGCTAAATGGGTACAAGTTCCAATATACTGTATATGGATAGGATAGATATGTAGCGTGTGTCTTTAAATTTATTACACTCTTTCAAGCCTGTGCAGTCGAGTTAAAGATGGCCGAAATGGGCAAATATTCAACTCAAGTTTTGCCTTGTTCTACGTGCCATCTTTGGCAATGTCAATACAACAACTTTTAATGCTTTGCTTTGGAATAAAACTTAAAATTTAAATCCTTCCCGGCTGCATTGCATGCATGTCTAGAGAGCTCTGCAAAATTTATTTCTTGCTTTCATGGCGTTGTGGCTATCTATCAAAGGCCTAACTTATGTTATTCCCAAAACTGTCGGTCAAATGTCAACGAATTATTGTGGAATTATAAAAGTATATTGTCGATTTTTCCCAAGGCTTAATTATTACTATTTTTTTTAAATTAATTCTTATTGAATGTTTTCTTGAGATTTTTACAGTTTTAACCAGTAAATGGTGGGCGGGGGAATGAAAAAAAAATTTGAGTCTCACGAATGAGATAATTTCAAAGATTTTTTTTTTTTTTTTAATGATTGAGGTGTCTGGATCAACTTATACGTACATCAATTAATATGATATTATGGTTAAACATATATATGATTTCGAACTCTTTTATCGAATTTTCTTTTTATAATTAATATGATTGGTAATTAATAATTTGAATATATATGATATGAAAATATAAAAAATATATATTATAAATATATCACATCAATCATACTATAAGTCAATGTATTTTTGTGTCATGGAATTTTCTTATATCTTTATGTCATAATTTTTTTTTCTCATTTATCTTTATAATTAATGTTTTGTTATTAATAATGATTATAAATATATGTATGTAGTACTATAAGTCAATAAAAAATATATATTATAAATAAATGTAGCATATGCGTATTCATTTGTAGAGTTTCTCAATATGATATATAAACATTGACTATTGAAACAGTATGTATTGTATCATAGACTACTTCACTAGTATAAATAACATAGACTTTATTGATATAAATGAATTTATTGAAGACATAATAAGTCATTACAGCTCTTAGACATTTCCTCTAAGCAAACTTACGCTCCTTAAAATGTCATTGCCACAATCGACAATAACAATGCAGAAAAAGATGTTTGCCTATCATGCATCATGAATGAGATTCATTACATGCAAAAACTAATATGTTATTTCATTTATTTCAATTTTATTAAATTATATAATCAGCTGAAATCTCATCTCACTTTTTCCATTCATATAACCTTTCCCATTTTTGATTAGGGTGTTGAGCATAAGAATAAGCCCCATCTTTCTTGATGCTCCATAAGCATTTTAAACATCTCGATTCATCTCTTGTATATCTATACACATCAAAGCTCCCTTCCACATTGTTCCACTTCATTTTGCAAAAGAAGAGTGTGTTGCGAAGGAATACATTGGCAGTGAATTTCCACTCTGTGAACTGCCCACTCGCAAAGTCTTTCTCGCCAAGATCATCGTCTCCAGATTTACAATGAATTTTCAAATGAATCCCATCACCCAAATCGTTTTGAATGCGAACTGTTGTTACAGGGATATCATCTATAGAGGCATTTGTAATCCTCATCAATATCAACACCATAACTAGTATGGCCAAATTCTTTCCCATCATTCTTTCTTTTACCTACTTTTAATTTCTTCAATTTCAATAGGTTTGTGTTTTCATATATCTGTCTTGTAGGGCTTGGTGCCTTATTTATATAGTTCTTTAGGCCAAAAGTTTTACAATGAACTGTAATCTATCTATAGAATATAGATAGTAAGTGACGCTGTGTAGAGTATTTGAAGTAAAATATTAGTGTGGCAATGGATTCTATATATGTCCCTAATTTAATTCTCCACCTAAGAATTATAGGTGAAAGGAAATTTAAATAATTATTGTGGTTCAATAATTAGCAACAAATGTTAGTTATGGTTCATCTCCTGTTTGCCAAACAAAATTGGCAGTAAAATTCATCTTTATATATCTAACTTAGTTAGTTTATTAACTAAAATGCACCCAGAAATAGAAAACTAGCTAAGCTATATTAGTAGTGAATAACCTCATATTAGAAAAATCTTTCAAGAAATCTACACAATTATAGAATTTGAACATATATATAACTTTATTAGATGGTATCACCCTTCTTATACAATTACAAATTAATTAATTAACTATGTTTTTTATTTGACAACAATATATAATAGAACCGAAATATTTTAACCATATAATGGAAACTAAGGCCTTTAAAGCTATTTAAAGAGAAAATAAACTCATAAAAGCTGTATTAATGTGGAATTAGATTTTTTTTTTTTTTTCNTAGACTTTATTGATATAAATGAATTTATTGAAGACATAATAAGTCATTACAACTCTTAGACATTTCCTCTAAGCAAACTTACGCTCCTTAAAATGTCATTGCCACAATCGACAATAACAATGCAGAAAAAGATGTTTGCCTATCATGCATCATGAATGAGATTCATTACATGCAAAAACTAATATGTTATTTCATTTATTTCAATTTTATTAAATTATATAATCAGCTGAAATCTCATCTCACTTTTTCCATTCATATAACCTTTCCCATTTTTGATTAGGGTGTTGAGCATAAGAATAAGCCCCATCTTTCTTGATGCTCCATAAGCATTTTAAACACCTCGATTCATCTCTTGTATATCTATACACATCAAAGCTCCCTTCCACATTGTTCCACTTCATTTTGCAAAAGAAGAGTGTGTTGCGAAGGAATACATTGGCAGTGAATTTCCACTCTGTGAACTGCCCACTCGCAAAGTCTTTCTCGCCAAGATCATCGTCTCCAGATTTACAATGAATTTTCAAATGAATCCCATCACCCAAATCGTTTTGAATGCGAACTGTTGTTACAGGGATATCGTCTATAGAGGCATTTGTAATCCTCATCAAGATCAACACCATAACTAGTATGGCCAAATTCTTTCCCATCTTTCTTTCTTTTACCTACTTTTAATTTCTTCAATTTCAATAGATTTGTGTTTGCATATATCTGTCTTGTAGTGTTTGGTGCCTTATTTATATAGTTCTTTAGGCCAAAAGTTTTAGAATGAACTGTAATCTATCTATAGAATATAGATAGTAAGTGACGCTGTGTAGAGTATTTGAAGTAAAATATTAGTGTGGCAATGGATTCTATATATGTCCCTAATTTAATTCTCCACCTAAGAATTATAGGTGAAAGGAAATTTAAATAATTATTGTGGTTCAATAATTAGCAACAAATGTTAGTTATGGTTCATCTCCTGTTTGCCAAACAAAATTGGCAGTAAAATTCATCTTTATATATCTAACTTAGTTAGTTTATTAACTAAAATGCACCCAGAAATAGAAAACTAGCTAAGCTATATTAGTAGTGAATAACCTCATATTAGAAAAATCTTTCAAGAAATCTACAGAATTATAGAATTTGAACATATATATGTAACTTTATTAGATGGTATCACCCTTCTTATACAATTACAAATTAATTAATTAACTATGTTTTTTATTTGACAACAATATATAATAGAACCGAAACATTTTAACCATATAATGGAAACTAAGGCATTTAAAGCTATTTAAAGAGAAAATAAACTCATAAAAGCTGTATTAATGTGGAATTAGATTTTTTTTTTTTTTTTTAACTTATGAATGAAGATAGGTTGAGAAACATTTTTTACAACTTTCTCTCACAAACACTGACGTGATAGCTCGCATTTGGGCAAACGAGACCTACTGTTGGGCAACGAGATCTATTGCAAGTTGACCAATTATAACCTGATACATCACGTTTGTGAGAGAAAATTAATAAAAAGGGTTTGTGAGAGTAGTATTATTTTTTAATTATATACATGGAAGGGATTTTAAATTAATGATTCGTTAATAATTATAGTTATAGCAATAAATGTTAATTTGATATTTTTTTATTTTCCAAAAAAAAAAACATCGACAATAATTTTTTCTATATCTAAATTAGCAGTATAGTACACTGCAACATGTATATATAACAATAATCTTGTTATACACATATATATACATAAATTTTTCCAAATAATAATTGAAAGAAAAATTGAAAATGTTGGCGTGACTTTTTTTTCTTTTTTTCTTTTTCTCTTGATGACCTATATGTTCAGGCTAGCTTGCGCACGCTTCGATTAATCGTCGAGACCTATTGAACACCTTATAAGACTAATGTTCAAAGGTAAGTTACAATTGTGGTAATTGCTCCAAGGTGGTTTGAACTCATAAAGTTAATGAAGAGAGTAAACCTTTTTTATCTCGGGCCGAGTTTATTGGCGTGGCTTTTGCAAATTGCAAACAAGTAATGTGCCAAGCCAAATTCATCTTATTACATTCCAAAATACAAACCAAAATCATTTGTGTTATACCTTTAACTATATATATGGTCAGAAATTGAATATATATAGAGTAGACTTCACCAGATAATCAGTTATTTTCATTCACCACATAAATGGCTTTGAAACACCAATTAGATATGGCCTCTCTGGTCGTATACTTCACCAATAAACACGACATCAAAATGATTAACTCAATTCTTTTTATTTAAATCCAAGAAAAAGACTATGTTGGTCCCAGAAAATTAGGTCGGAAGTTTAATGTTAAACTTCATCTACATATAAGTCTCTTTAATTGATTGAAACAATTTTCTTCGCTAATTGTCTTAGTTTTAATTTGATTTGTGGTGTTTGAACAAAGAGAAAATGAGAGAAAACTTAAAATTTAATTAAATAAATATAGGCAGGATTCTAGAGAGTGGAGAGAACACCTCAAAATTTGGGTTTTTATAATGCACCACCCCGTTGAGAGATGATGAGGTGATTCTAAGCACCCCCAAGTTTTTTACGAAAATATTAAAAATAACTCTAGAAAATGACATTATGTTAACACGCGTTGAAAGAAAATCAATGGAGGTCTTTGTTCAATTACCATTATACCCTTATGAAGCATTTTAATAATTAAAATTACAGAAAACCCTTTAGAGAAAATTACGAATTCACCCTTTTATTTTGGGAATGAAATTGAGGATGTCTGAAGTGTAGACTTCCCATTCGCGAGGTCTCTCATCAAGATCATCGTCTCCAGATTGACAATGCGGCCCCAATTGTTTTGAACGTGAACCGTTGCTGTGAAGATGTCACTATCAGGTGCCCATGTAGGGTTTTGTAATTCTCAAGATGATCATCACCAATAATTAGCAATAAATCTTAATTATGGTTCAACTCCTATTTGTCAAACAAAAAGTGGCAGTAAAATTAATTTTATATATCTAATTTAGTTAATTAACTACAATGCACCCAAAAATAGAAAATTAGTTAAGCAAAATTCATAGTGCATTCAAAGCTATAACTTCCTTTAAAGACAGAAGAAAAAAGTTTCATTTATCACAATAACCTCATATTGGAAAAATCTTTCGTGGAGTCTATAGAATTATAGAATTTGAACAAATATATAACATTGATTGTTTCTCAATTATTAGTTGCTGTCACCCTTGTTATGTAATTACAACTAAATTAATTAATTATTTTTTTTGTTTTTTTTTTTTGTTTTTGACAACAATAAAAGAATCAAGTACATGTCTTGACAGATAATAATTAATATCTTACGAAATATGAAATGCCTTTATTATTAATTTTCCTTGATCTCTGCTGGTTGAGATTAATGAGTGATTAAAGTTTCAATCAATCAACTGAATTCATGTGATTAATTGAATAATTATAGAGATTTTGTATTTATTATTTTTTTTCTTTACATTTATAAAATTATATAAATTGGCCAATTGTACAACCTTACAATATACTGAATATACAAAATTTTTCTCTCTTTCTCTTCTCTTGAGCATACTCTGGCGGTGTCATTATCTTGAACTGCTTCTCTTTGTCCTTCTCTCTATCTCTATCTCAATTCCTTATATGGTATCAGAGATCAGCTAAAAGCTCCTGCTTGCCTATCAACTCAACTTCTTTCTTTTTTTCCCTACAAACAATTAAAAAAAAAAAAAAAAAAACATTATCCTTCAGCATGGAAATCAACCCAAATACAACTACAGAAAACCCAAACGACCCAATTAATACAAACAACCCAATCACCACAGATAGTCCACACAGCTCTAGCGCAAACACTTAATCTATGCCTACTACAACCTACACAATTGAAGCCCACAAACTTCAAACCAGGCCTGACCTAGCTCGTTATCCATATGGAATGCCGGGTTACAACCTGGATTCTTTTACCCATTCAAGGCTTGACCCAACCTCTCTTGGAATCCGGGTTACAACCCGGATTCCTTTCCTACATCGAGTTTGGATCCAAATCCCTACCCGTATCCCTTTTGAATTGTTCCAGCCGCCGGGAACAATTGGCTTGAACCAGGCGATGTTCCTTTCTCACTGGTCTCCAATAGACGTGAATTAGATCTCATCAAACAAACCCTAACTGGATTAGACAACCATGCCTCCTAGTTTTACGATTTCCGGTGAGCCCTCATCACCAAAGACAAATATCCATTTCTTGATGGAGCTTTTCAACCACTTTCGCAACCTCATCTTCAACGCCACTGGAATCGTTGCAATATGCTGGTCCGATCATGGATCAGCAATTGTCTTTCGTCAGAGGTCGCGGCTAGGCTCCCATTGACAGAAATGGTTGCCGAGATCTAGGCTAACATCAAGGAGATGTATGGGAAGCTAGATCTCGCCAAAACCTTCACTCTCCGGCAATGCCTCATTGAACTCAAGCAAGGGAATAACTCGGTCACCACTTATTTGAATCGGCTCTCTGCCATTTGGAATGAGTTAGACGCTGCTGAAGAAACTCTTGAGGGGTCATCGGAAACACTCAATCAGTACCACAAAATGTGCGATCGCGACCAATTGTTGCATTTTTTGCTGGATTAAATGATGGTTTTCTTTCTTTCAGGACACAGGTACTGGCCACGTCTCCACCACCCTCTCTTCGTCGAAGTTTTCAACTGGTGGTGCAAGATGAAAGCCAATGCCAGTTGAACTCCGATAGAACACCACTAGATTCAATGGCGTTGGCAAGGTTAAGAGAGAATGGTGATCAACATCAGCTAGGGCAAAATGAAGGTGAAAAACCTTCTCTTATATATGATGAGATGAAGGCCTCAGATTCAATCTTGCGATTTGACAGTCAAAAACTCATCGCATTTTTTAACGCATCTCACGACTCCAATCGTGCCACGTCACATCATGAGTCAAACAGGTCAACTCCTTGGTCAAACAGATCAAATGGATATGGAAATGGGTCAAATGAGTATGGAAATGGGTCAAACGAGTCGGGAAATTCAAGATCCAATAAAAACAGAATGTATTGTGATTATTACAAAAGAAGAAATCATGATTGGGACCATTGTTGGAGATTACATGGTCATCCAGATTCCAACAACAACAACAGAAATGGTAATTCTTCTTCTTTCCAAGTTGATTCTCTTGGAAATCAGTCAGCACCCACTCTCAATTTGGAACAATATAATCAGTTGCTCCAGTTGTTGAAAATGTCCTACCTGCTCCCACCACATCTTACACAAGTACCTTTTACTGTTTTAATTTACTCACAACTGATATGTGGATTATTGATTCAGGGGCTAGTGATCACATAATTTGTCACCCAAATTTTTTTTTATCACTATTTCCACTACCTCATCCACTTCTGTTCGTATGCCGAACGAGAATATCACCCCAACCACTCATATAGGGACTGTCCAATTATCTGCCACTTTATCACTTAAGAATGTGCTATGTGTTCCTGCATTTCATTTTAACCTTATCTCAATATCCAAAATATGTGAAAACAATAATTGCACTATAGAGTTTTTTCCTACCACATGTAAATTTCAGGACCCTTCGACTGGGAAACTGATGAGCTAGGGTAAAGTCAATAGAGGTCTATACTATTGGGCACATGCTGAGTCTACTAAAACTTTTCCTCCTTGTAATCCAAATAAAATTTCCAATTGTAATATGATGATTAATAAAAATTTCTTTATTCTTCATCAAAGATTAGGTCACAGTGCAACTATCCTTCAACCTCAATGTCCTATATGTCCATTAGCTAAACAAGCCCGCATTATCTTTCCGCATAGCACTTCCACTACAACCCAACCTTTTGCTTTAATCCATCTTGATATTTGGGGTCCTTACCACACCCCAAATCATGATGGATCCAGATTTTGCCTCACCATTGTTGATGAATTTTCTCGGGGTACATGGACATTCTTCATGCAATCCAAAACACAAACACTTACTCACATTAATTTTTTTTTTTGTCCATGGTCATCACCCAGTTTCGTACTTCTGTCCAAAGAGTTAGAACCGACAATGCTAGGGATTTCTTTAATTATAATTTTTTATCTCTTGGCATTCTACATGAAAGCTTTTGCACATATACATCACAAGAAAATGGGGTTGTTGAAAGAAAACACCGCCATCTGCTTGAAGTAACCCGTGCCCTCAAACATCAAACCCACATACCCGTTTCCTTTTGGGGAGATTGTGATCACAATCACATACCTGATCAACCGCATGCCAACTATAGTTATTCATGGTAAGACTCCTTATGAGATACTATTCAAGAAGCCACCAGCTCTTGACCACCTTCGAGTTTTTGGCTGCCTTTGTTATGTTGCCACCCTTGGCTCCCATGACAAATGGTACCCGGGCCACCCGCTGTATATTTTTGGGATATCTTATGCTTCAAAAAGGTTATAGGCTATATGATCCAGTTGAAAATAGGTTCTTGATCTCCAAAGATATTGTGTTTCATGAAGACATTTTTCTGTTTGCCATAAACGACACTACTACATTTACATCACCCAGACTGGTTCTTGAAGATAATACCCAACCAATTCCTTTAATTACTATGATACCGGTCCCTCCGATTCCTCAGCCTGACCCCTACCTTTGATTCTGATACTGTGGCCACTAATGATCCTCAGGAAGAAACACCTATTCAGATTCCTACTGTTGGTTCCCCACCAAGATCCCTTGTTCCAATTGTTTCCACACCAGGATCCACTATTCTAGGTCGAGCTATTCCTACACGTCGCAATACTTGGTAAACTCGGCCTCCAATCTAGACAACAGATTATGAGTGTCCCACTATTTTAGATTGCTTAGGTACATTATATCCTACCTCCAATTATGTGAGTTATGATCGTCTCTCTCTTGTACACAGAGCTTGTATCAGTCACATCTCTGTTGATCGAGAACCCACTAGTTACTCAGATGTTGTTTAATACTCTCATTGGCGTAAAGCAATGACTGATGAACTTATTGCTCTGACTCAGAGTCATACTTAGGATCTAGTGCCTCATCCCTCTCACAAAAAACCCATTATTGTAAATAGGTCTACAAAGTCAAGCACCATGCTGATGGATCCATTGAATGTTACAAAGCTCAATTGGTGGCTAAAGACTTCACTTAGCATGAGGGCTTTGATAATCAAGAGAAATTCTCACTAGTAGCCAAACATGTCACCGTTAGTATTTTCCTTATAGTGGCTTCCATTCATGACTGGTCTCTCCATCAAATGGATGTTCACAATGCTTTCCTTCATGGTGATCTTCATAAATAAATTTATATGGATATTCCTCCAAACATTCGCAGACAGAGGGAGAATATAGTATGTTGTCTGCAAAAATCCCTTTATGGCCTCAAACAAGTATCCCGACAATAGAATGAGAAATTCAGTAAAACTCTCATTGGCATAGGATTTGTTCAGTTTAAACATGACTATGCACTATTTACTTGGCACAGAGGTAAAACCTTTATTGCTCTAATTATCTATGTAGATGACATTCTTATTACAGGAAATGATGAAGTAGGCATCAAATCCTTGAAAGAGCATCTCAATAGACAATCTCGAATAAAAGATCTGGAAGAACCAAAATACTTCTTTGGAATCGAAATTGTAAGATCCCTAGTAGGAATATCTCTCAGCCAATGGAATATGTCTTGGAACTAATTTCCGATTCTGGGCTATTAGGATGCAAGCCAAGTATTGTTCTAGTAGAACAAAACACCAAACTGACTACTCAAGAATACGACAATGGGACATCATCTACTGAAGTTGATCCACCTCTTAAAGACCCCATAAACTATCAAAGACTTGTTGGATGATTAATCTACCTCACCATGACTCGCTCAGACATCAGTTATATGGTCCATATCCTTAGTCAATTCATGCATGTGCCTAAACAATCTCACATGGATGCTGCAATAAAGGTTCTGAAATACTTAAAAGGATGTCCTGGCTTAGGTCACCTCCTTTCTTGAGACAAAGGTTTGGATATCACAGCTCATTGTGACTCAGACTAGGCCACATGTCCAATGATAAGAAAATCACTTACAGGATTCTGCATCAAGCTAAGGGGAGCTCTTATTTCTTGGAAAACAAATAAACAATCGACAATATCTCTTTCTTCAGCAAAGGCAGAATGCAGAGTCATGGCAAAGACAAGATGTGAGATCGTCTTGATTCTGGGATTATTAAAGGACCTAGAAGTACAAGTAAGTAAACATGTTCTTTTATACTATGACAACAAGGTTGCAAATGACATAGCAGCAAATCTAGTATTCCATGAAAGAACGAAACATATAGAAATTGATTGCCACTTTGTTAGGAACAAAATATAAGAAGGGGTAATCAAGACTTTACACATTCATAATTCAAAACAATTAGCATACATCTTCACAAAGCCATTATGTAGCAGACATCATTCATATTTACTTAGCAAGCTTGGAGTTTTTGACATCTACAAACCACAAGCTTGAGGGGGAGTGACGAAATATGGAATGCCTTTATTATTGATTTCCCTTAATCTCTGTTGGCTGAGATTAAGGAGTACTGATTAAAGTTTCAATCAATCAACTTAATTCATGTGATTGATTGAACAATTACAGGGATTTTGTATTTATTATTTTCCTTCTTTACAGTTACAAAATTGTATAAATTGGCCAATTGTACAGTCTTGCAATATATTGAATATCCAAAATTCTTTTCTTTTTCTCTTCTCTTGGCATACTCTAGCATTGTCATTATTTTGATCTGCTTCTCTTTGTCTCTATCTAGATTCCTTATAATATAAAAAAACGCTTTATTTTCTTTAATCATTGGGCTTGTGGCCGGATGACAAGAGCTTAGCCATCTGGTTAGGTTACCTAGAAGTCTTGTGTTAGAATTTCCGTAGTGGCCACTTACTACATTTGTGACTTACCTAATCTATTGGGCTTGTGAGATGTTCAATAGGTCTTAGGGATTTAACCCCAGTTATATTAAAAAAAAAAAAAAAAAAAGGCTTTATTTTTGCTGTTTGGTTAAACCCCATTCTAAAACAAAATTAGGTTGATTAGATATTATCAAGAGGAACATGCTATAACAATTAACTCTTATTAAGTACTACTAGATATATAAATTGATTATATAGATTATGTAATATCTTCTTACTAGCTAGTATACTTGGAAAATATACTATGATAAAAATACATAAGCATAAAACATGAAAAGTAATGAGCCCAAAAATTTTCTTTACTTTATATATTAAATTCTGTACACAATAGAAATATTATATACAATAACTTAAAAAACAGTGGACAGTAGTGCCATTTCTCTCCGCTTCTAACGTCCATCCGACCGCTTCTCACTTATTTCCTGCAAAAACATTTAGAAACAACGGGGTGAGCACAATTTGCTCAGTAAGTAAATCCACTAATCTACTCCTCTCTTTCCGTTGTTCAGAATCTGAATTTCTTTCCTTAATTTACTGTTTTTCTTCTTCTCGATTCTCTCTTTGTTCTTACTATATTCTTTCACTCTTTCTAGTTCTTACTGTTCTTTCATTCTAACTTTCTTTGTTCTTTCTTTCTAGTTCTCTTTGTGCTTTCTTTCTTCTAATTTCTCACTATCCATGATAAGAATCATGGTATCATGCATAAATAAGATGCAAATGCACAAATTCATAGAGATGCATTTTCTTTCTTCTTTTCTGTTTCTTATTCTGTTTTCTTTTTCTTTTCTATATTTCTTTCTTTCTTTCTATTCTTTCTTTCTTTCATTCTTTTCTTTCTTCTCTTCGTTTTTTTTTTTTTCTCTTTTCTTTTCTTGCTTGCTTATTCTTTCTTATTCTTTGCCGATCGGACTCGGTTGAGGCATGGATTTGGAACCCTGGCCGTGTGAGTGAGTACAGTCCTCATCTACATGCACTCTTACGAACTGTACAAATTATTTTCTTCTTATGCCACTCATTTAAGGTGGCGCGCATGTAGGTATTTCTTCTGGGTACAACCCTCATCCACATGCACTCTTACGGGTCGTACAAATTCTTCTTCTTCTTCTTCTTCTTCTTAGGCCACTCACTGAAGGCGGCGTGCATGTGGAAATCTTTTTCTTCTTGTCACTCACGGGTTCCCTATCGCAACAACCTTTTCTTTTCTCTTCTTTAGCACTCTTCTTTCTTTCTCTTTGTTCTTTAAGTTCTTTATTCTTTAAGTATGAGTGCATATGTTTGCATGTAGATGATTCATGCTTAAT